TTTGAGAATCTAATAAAAACGTCTGGTGTCTCTAATGTAATTCTGAACCGTCTCCACAATAACTATATACTCATATTTACGTCTCGTGATTGAAAACCATAAATAAAAGTTTGGGTATTGAGTGGAAAAGCATCACTCATCACTGACAGAGAGTTAAGTAATATTAGTCTTTGATTAGTGTAAAAAGGACAGTGCAGGAAAAAATGATCACGATCTTCGAAGGGGGAACCACATATACAAGCAGGGCTATCATTTAGATGTGCCTTAAATAAATCTGAATTTAAATTACTTGCAGAAGTTCTTAACTGACATAATGTTATGTTAATTTTTCTATCACCGTGATATTTACAAATGTTACTACATATTGGATGGACATCAATATCGGATGAACGTAAACATTCCTTTTTCAGAGCTCCAAGAGATGTCATGGTGGGAAACAGACGGGATGGATTGTTCCATTCTGACATAAGTTTTGGGGAAAAACTAGAGTTATATAAATTCGTTCTTGGTACTGGAGCGTCAAATAACCTATTATGTCGAAAGTTGTAATGTTCAATGTTATTAAAAAGGGGCAGTATCAAGTCTGAGACATGAGAAGGACAATTGTTATTAAAGGATTTTAAAAAATGCAATATTTTGTATAAATGTCTTCTTTTACTAAGTGTAACAAAGCCAGTCTCTCTATATAAAATGTTATGGCTCGTTCCTCGTCTTAAACCAGAAATGATGCGTGCTGCTTCAAGTTGGATTGACTCCAAGACGTTGCACTCTCTCTGGGAACAGTTAGCCCATACAATATCAGCATATTCGAGGATTGGACGAACATATGATAAAAATGTTTACATGTATGTTCATCATGTTGCGTATTTATATAAACACACATTTTAACAACATTGTCTTTGTAATCAATTACCGCACGCTTTATTGGCATGCTTTGTTCTGTGTTACTCTATGCATGTGAAGAGTATATCTATATCTATGATCGTGTTGTTAGATGTCACTGAGTTTACATATATTCATGATATCCTTTAATAAAATAAATTCTGCATTTTCCATAAAGGTTTTTTTAATTCAATTTGTGTATCTGTTGAATATTTCATTACTATGCGCGTGAAAAGAATTCAAAGTAAAAGTTGCATTGCCTGTATAACATAATATATCATCCATACAATAATAGACACGTTGTCCATTCGATCCCTCATGAATATGTTCAGACTCTATTAAGATACGTAGGATAGACAGAAATAGGCACAATGGTCACGGTGAATAACCGGGTATTCAGAAGGTGTGTGATACGTGGTAAAGTGTTAGAAACTCCGGGGTAAAATACAATTACTAAAGGTTAATATACATGAGATAACCATCCTATACATGTTAACTAGGATGGAGAAATGAGTCGGATGTCAGTAGTCACGCCTACAAAGAATGTTAGAGGAATGTTAAAAATGAACCGAGGAAAAGGAAAAGTAGAGATTTAAGTAGAATCACCACTTTGTCTATAAGTCAATAAGAGGAAAATGTATCATAATGTGAAACCCCCTCCTTACTCTTAGGTTGAACAGAGTTTATAGTCTTCCAACCCAGCATGCTTCTGGCAAAATATCATTCACCTGGACCTTTTGGTAAAACAGAACAAATCATTTAAAGATTTAAACATATATTGAGCACTGTGACCTTGAATATGGGCGAAGGTCATTCACTTGGTAGTCCTTCATCCAAGCATGTTAATGGCCAAATATCATCACCCTCGGCCTTTTGATTATTAAGAAGAAGTCGTTTAAAGGTTTTTAACATATTTGACCCCTGTGATCTTGGATATATGTCAAGGTCATTCATTTGAACACATTTGGTAGTCCTTCATCCCAGCATGTTACTGGCATTATACAAGGCCTCTTGGTTATTCAGAAGAAGTTTTTTAAAGGTTAAAACATATTTGACCCCTGTGACCTTGAAAAAAGATGAAGATCATTCATTTGAACAAACTTTGTAGCCCTTCATCCTGGCATGCTACTAGCCAAATACTAACACCCTAGATCCCTTGGTTATTCAAAAGAAGTTCTTTTAAAGATTTTTAACATATTCAACCCTTGTGACCTTGAATATAAGTCAAGGTCATTCATTTGAACAAACCTGTTAGCCCTACATCCGAGCATGTTACTGGCAAAATATCATCACCTTATACCTCTTGGTTATTCAGAAGAAGTTGTTAAAAGTTTTTTTTCATTTGGACAAACTCGGTAGTCATTTATTCCAGCATGCTACTGGCCAAATATCATCATCATCCTAGGCATTTTGGTTATTCAGAAGAAGTTGTATCACAGGTTTTAAACACATTTGACCCCTGTGAATGTGATTATAAGTCAAAGTCATTCATTTGAACAAACTTGGTAGTCCTTCAACCTAGCATCCAACAGAATTAATGATCAGTACCCTGGTCTTTTTGGTTATTGAGAAGTTGTTTGAAGATTTTAAGACATTTGACCCCTGTGACCTTGAAAGTGGGTCAATGTCATTTATTTGAACAAACTTGGTAGCCATTCATCCCAGCATACTACAGGCCCAATATCAGTACCCTGGGCCTTTTGGCTATTGAGAAGAAGTTGTTTAAAGTAAAATATTGACGCCGGACGACGGACGGACGACGGACGCCGCGCCACGGCATAAACTCACTTGCCCATTAGGCAGGGGAGCTAAAAAAAAGAAAAGATGAAGAAAAATATATCTCAGCCTCATAACACAAGGCCAAATTATACCACAGCATCAAAACACAATAACAAAATACACGATATCACAATACACAAGACCAAATTATACCACAGCATCAAAACACAATAACAAAATAAACGATATCACAATACACAAGGCCAAATTATACCACAGCATCAAAATACAATTACAAAATATACCAAATCACAATACACAAGGCCAAAGGTTTTATACCACATTTTCTTCAACAAAGATTGAATTCCTTCAGGTAGAAATTATTCAAATTGTGAATATTTACCTGGTCAATATAAACCGTCAATGTAGAGGATATGTCATTGAGAACAGATTTTACTGAATAAATGTTGTCGTAGTGTGTCAGACCGTAACAAACATTGGTTTTTAGATAACCCTTATTGCCGTAGTGTGTCAGAATGTAACAAACATTGATTTTTAGATAACCCTTATTGCCGTAGTGTGTCAGAATGTAACAAACATTGGTTTTTAGATAACCCTTATTGCCGTAGTGTGTCAGAATGTAACAAACATTGATTTTTAGATAACCCTTATTGCCGTAGTGTGTCAGAATGTAACAAACATTGGTTTTTAGATAACCCTTATTGCCGTAGTGTGTCAGAATGTAACAAACATTGATTTTTAGATAACCCTTATTGCCGTAGTGTGTCAGAATGTAACAAACATTGGTTTTTAGATAACCCTTATTGCCGTAGTGTGTCAGAATGTAACAAACATTGATTTTTAGATAACCCTTATTGCCGTAGTGTGTCAGAATGTAACAAACATTGATTTTTAGATAACCCTTATTGCCGTAGTGTGTCAGAATGTAACAAACATTGGTTTTTAGATAACCCTTATTGCCGTAGTGTGTCAGAATGTAACAAACATTGATTTTTAGATAATCCTTATTGTCGTAGTGTGTCAGAATGTAACACACATTGGTTTTGAGATAACCCTTATTGCCGTAGTTTGTCAGAATGTAACAAACACTGATTTTTAGATAACCCTTATTGCCGTAGTGTGTCAGAATGTAACAATAATTGATTTTTAGAAAATCCTTATTGTCGTAGGGTGTAAGAATGTAACAAGCATTGATTTTTAGATAACCCTTATTGCCGTAGTGTGTCAGAATGTAACAAACATTGATTTTTAGATAATCCTTATTGTCGTAGAGTATTAGAATGTCACAAAAGCTAGTAACGATATAACTGTCGCATTCTGTAAAACCTCACAAAAATGGTACTGAGGTAACCCTTAACGTCATAATGTGTGTCACAAAAAGAGGTTGTGAAGTATACTTTATTGTCGAACTATGTAAAGAGATTGGTAATGAGGTCATTCTTTATTGTACAGAGTGACAATATCACAAAGATTTGTAATGAAGTTATCCTTTATTGTACAAAGTAAAAATGTCACATAGATTTGTACTGAGGTTACCCTTTATTTTTCAGAGTTAAAAGGTCACAAGGATATGTACTTGGGAAATTCATTATTGTACAGAGTGAAAACATCACATATATTTATACTGAGGTTACCTTTTATTGTACAGAGTGAAAACATCACATAGATTTATACTGAGGTTACCCTTAATTGTACAGAGTGAAAATGTCACAGAGACCTGTACTGAGGTAACCCGTTATTGTACAGAGTGAAAATGTCACAGAGACCTGTACTGAGGTGACCCTTTATTGT